TGGAGCAAATCGGGTTGGCGCGCGCTATCGGAAAAGGCAATCGAGCAAATTCTTGCATCCTGGCCGCCAATTGTGGCCGGCTGAAATGGCGCTTGGCATTTCTTAGCCACTTGCCGCCACTTCCGCCGTCTGCACTTGAGCACAAATCGTGAGCCATTAGGGCGTCAAGTGGCGGGAGGTTCGAGGGAAAATACGGAAAACGGCTTAAAAGCCTTGTCACAAAACTCTTTTTATTTTGGCATTTAAAAACGGGCGCAAACAAAAACGCAAAAATGGCAAAACAAAATACTTAACGTTGACATTTCACTTAGCGAAAATGAACGAGGGGCACCCGCTATTTACTTCTATGTGTGTGTGTGTTTATGTATTGATGTGCGGGTGTGTGTGTGTATGCAAGCCCCTGGGGACACACAAAAGTTGTTTAGAAATTCATCGAGCCAAAAGTTGGTTCGCTTGCCCCAATCGACTTGTCTGCAATATTTGCTCTCTAGCCAGGCTCTCTTCTCCCTCTCTCACTCTGTGCCTCTCTCGCTTGCACACTGGTATATTTATAGCTATGGCGTATGTCAAGGCGACAAATAAATTTTTGGACAGCAATTTCATGCAACGTGCCGAGCAGCAGAGCCACCAAAATAAAAACAACATCAAATAGGAGCAGCAGCAAAATGTTGATTTGCATTTGCCACACAACAGACGCAGCGAAGCAGGAGTCGCCACACCAGCCACAAGGCTCAAGAGACAACCAACAAACGATTCGCGTCATATTGCAATTGCTCATGAGCGTTGAGTGGCGTTGCCAGCTGCAACAGTTGCTACAGGCTGCGCGGCATTGCCAGCTGCCAGTGCAGAGGTTAGGGCTGATTTGCAACGCCACCTGGCGCTCAGCCTGGACACGGTGCAACTTTGTTTGCATGTGACAACATGATAAAGCACAAAAATGCCAAACTGCACAACTAAAACTAACTCAGGAAATAACAACAGAGAAGGAGTGGGAGTGAGAGAGAGAGAGAGGGAGTACGTTGCCAAGAAAGAGCATTTTGACAGCTATTTTGCCACTTGGCAATTTCCTCCGTCGAGAGTACATGACAAAAATTGTAGAGTATGCTGCAGGACGTTAGAGGTGGTGCAGTGGTGCAACGTTGCGGTGGTGGGACGTTGCGGCCGTACGTTAGGTAAGGCAAATTTTTCTTGTCGAAAACTCTGGCAGAAAGTTAAAAGTTTAATTGTGCGCAACGCTTAAAATGCAAACGCTGGACAGTCCGAGCAGGAAGAGGGGCGGGCAGGAGACGAAGCTGAATGCAACATCTGTGACAAGTTTTATTAAGTTTATTTTATATTTTTGCATTCGTGCGTGGGGCTGCGAGTGCGGGGAAGGGGAAGGGGAAGGGGGAGGGGGAAGGGTTAACGACGTGCTGCCACAAACTTGTCGGCTGGCATTCTGGGCGGATAGAGAAAAGCGCTTTGTTGCAACTTTGATAAAATCAAATGTGGAAGCTGCAAATAGAAGGTAGGACAGGGCAAGGCATGGCATGGCATGGCATGGGATGAGGGGCTGCCATGTTGTCACACACACACTTTTTTATGCACCCACTTGACTGCCCAATGGCCTTTGCAAGACGCAGTTGAAGCGGCGCCCGGGCCGGACAATGGCCACTTAAAGCTCCGGCCAGCGCGCTCGTAAAACGTTTAAATGAGAGAAAAGAAGTGCAGCCCATAGGCCAGAGCAGCAAGTGGGGCAGGAGCCGAACCTGGAGCTAGAGGTGGAGCAGCGTCTGCTGAAGCGACAGGTAATGCATATCCTTGAGGGCAGCTCGTCGGATGTGTGTAAAATATTTAAGTGCCATCAGTTGCTGTCATACTTTTTTAATTGACTTATCAATAATTCATGCAGAGCAACACTCGCACAAACAGAGCGTGCACTGCGAGAAACACAGAGAGCGAGAGCGGGAGAGAGACAGACTGCATATGGTAGTGTTATTCATATATACAAATGAAGTCAGTGGCTGGGCGCGAATGCGAGAGGTGAGACAACTACGAGAGGCCGAGGCGCAGTTTGGCCAGGTCGACGACTCGCCTTGGATTTACACACACACGCACACAAGTACGCTAGATGGCGCCTCAACACCTCCAACTGAACACACTGCTGAAAAATATTCGTAACGTTCAATCCTTAAACTGCATACTGAAATAGATTTTACATGGACAAAAGTTTTTATTTATATTTGTAAATATTGATTTATATTTTTACATATTTATTTATATATTTTAAATGTTTTTTTTATTATATTTTCGAGTATTTATAAAATCAATAATAATAATAACTGAATTTTAATTTATTCTTTAGTTTTTGTATATTACTTTCTGATATTTCTCATTCAATTTACGCTAGATAACGCCACCAATGTGTATCAATTTGTATTTTCGTTGCTTCATAATTTTGAATTAATTTTTTTTATATACATATATACAAATTTAGTATTTATAAGATCATTTCAAAATTAGTATTTTAGTTTTTGTTATATTTAATTACATGTTATGGTAGATGCTGCCACTAATGCGAATCTTTTAATTAATTTTTATTATTTTATCTTAAAATATTATCCAATTATTGTTTGAAATTTTTTTTGTATTATTAATTGTTTTTATCAATAGTTCGAGTTTTTTCTTTAAGCTATTTAGGTGGGAACTCATAGTCATAGTTGTTATTATTTTGGTAAAATATTTTGTTATTATCTATAGAAAATTCAATTTAAAATTTTTATTATTTGTAGAAAATTTTTCCAGTGCTATTTATATTAAATTTGATTAATTCAAGTGATATGTGAGTTAATTCGTTCTCAGAATAACTGCTGCAAATACTTTACGTTCTCGCGCTCATCTTTATCTCGTGCTCCACTTTTGGCAATTTCAGCTGCAGCCAAACTGAAGGAACGTGATTGATGCATTTTTAATGCGCTTTTTGGAGCATCGTTTCGCACTGCAGCCGTGGAATGGGTTGACGGAGGAGTTGTGATTGCGCATTCATTTGAAAAATGCAATTGTGGCTGAGCGACCATTAAAAACCCTTTAAATAAATTTTAGTTGACACCTCGCGCAGAACTGCAGTAGCAGCAGCAGGAGGAGAGCATCATAAATATTATTTGAGAAACATAATCAGGGCAAAGGTTGAGGACGCTAAACAAAAGCAACGCACCAGAGCATATGCGTCAAGGATAAAATCAAATTTAACGCATCGCTTGCATATCTGCAAGGGCTGCACTAGAAGGAGGAGGAGGAGGAGGAGAAGGAGGAGGATTATGAGGATGTAGAGAGTCTTCTGAATGCTTTGAGTTTTGGCTATGCTCTCTCTGAGCTGCTTAAAGAAAGGCCACGTAGCACTTGACATAAGCAGAGACAAGCACACATATACATACACATACACACATATATACACATGCACTCTCACAGAGGAGGGCGTTTAAGTGAGAGAACTCTGGGCGGGGAGCTGGGGCGTTGGGCACGTGCCGTCGGCTTACGCGCCGTCTGCTCTGTGGGAAGCCGTCGCCATATGAGAAAAATCAGCGTGAAAAATGTGTAGCAGAAGACGAGGCGCATAATCAAAAGTAAAGCAGCCAAAGGATGGCCAAAGCAGCCCTCGTGCTGTCGAGCCTTTGCTGAGGATGCACATGCTGAGGCTGCTGCGCTCTGCCCAACATAATGCAATATTTCAAGCCACAAAGCAACAAAAAATATTAAATGGGAAAAAACAAAAACCAAGCCGCCAAACTCTTGCGCCCGGAGCTGCTGGCTGATGCAGGCAGCGCATGCAGCTCTACACGTCAAAACGGCACTGGGAATGGGACCATACATATATATTCATGTTTATGTATGTGTGTGTGTGTTATAATACATGCACTTGAGATATCGATTTTGGACCTGCTTGCCAAAGCTTTATTATGTGCGCTTCCACTTTCGCCGTGTTTCTTAAATGTTATTCGATTTCATTAACTTGCCATGAATAATATTGTATGTAACTTATAACAGATTCATACTAGAGATATTAAGGCCAGCGATAGTATAGAAAACGGCTGAAGTAGGAAACTATATAATATTTGTTTATTAGAT